TCTAAACACGGTATAAATAGACCAGAGTTTCTTCCAGGCATCTCTTCGGGGGGGACGAAGCCCCCCCGAAAATTTTTTACACCCCCCCCCCCCCCCCCCCCCCCCCGAACGAAATGGAATTTATATAATTTATATAGAAAATATATACTTTTAACAGTGTCCGCCCCCCCCCCCCCCCCGAAGAAAGTTTACCGCCCCCCCCCCCCCCCCGAAGATTTCAAGTGCCATCCCCCCCCCCCCCCCCCCCCCTGAGAAAAAAGTCTGGAAGAAACACTGAAATAGACATAAATGCAGTGTGTGTAGTACATGGGCAGCACAGCACAGAGAACCAGTTGATAACTGATTGAATGTCTGTGTGTTGAGTGAAACAAAGATTTGATCGTGCCTGGTGATTACTCCCCCACTCCCACTCCCCCCATTCCACCCAGATGAAGAGAAAACTGGTTCTTGAAGGGTTTGTCAAAGACTCCCCAGATGTCACGTGTCCTGGCCAATGTTCCCAGCAGCCTGGCGTCGAGATGGAACGGTTATTGATTTTTTTAGCAGGCGTCCCCCGTGCCTGGACCGTACCAAACTGTTGTTCTGGCATCGTGCACCGTTCAAGACATGTTTTTTTATACCCGGCGGTACCACTGATTCCTGCCTGGTCTAAGCGACTCAGTGGTTCCACTTAATGGTACATTATGTGTACTGTGGTTCGGACGCCGGCGGCCATTATTGTTTAAAAATAGAGTGCGCGTGCCTGACACCCCCCCCCCCCACACACACACACACTGACCAATCACTTCAGCGACTCAGTGGTTCCACTTAATGGTACATTATGTGTACTGTGGTTCGGACGCCGGCGGCCATTATTGTTTAAAAATAGAGTGCGCGTGCCTGACACCCCCCCCCCCCCACACACACACACACTGACCAATCACTTCAGCGACTCAGTGGTTCCACTTAATGGTACATTATGTGTACTGTGGTTCGGACGCCGGCGGCCATTATTGTTTTAAAAATAGAGTGCGCGTGTCTGACCCCCCCCCCCTCCCCCCCCCCCCACACACACACAGAGACCAATCACTTCTGTGGCTTGACCAGCGGCTATCTGGGTGAAGCGAACCAATGGTGGCTGGGGTGTAGGATGGTGGATTAATGGATACCCTGTCAGGGATAGCTTTATTATCGGCTACCGTTTGTTCGTCTGTTTGGTGAGGCGGGGGTGGATCTGGTTTTAATTTCATTTTCTCCTCGCTTCCCTTTATCGACATTCAGAGAATTTTATTTTTTATTTTATTTTTTTTTTTTTTTTTTTTAGCATCAGGTTGACCTTGGGGGCTGTACATTGATTATGTGGTTGGGTCTAGTTTTCCGAGTGAGTTGTAAGCCATGTCTGTGTTGTAAGTCTTGTCCATCCTTTCATTTTTCCACACCAGATGTTTTCGTGTGCTATTTGTCCTCCATTACTTTCCTATTACCGCTACAATTCTCTTCCCGCCACGCCAGTAAAATGGCCGTCTGGTCTCGGCAGACGGTATGAATAATTGATCACAGACTACTTCAACGTTAAATCACACAACTCTAGCTCCTTCTTTCTGCCTGTATTAAGCTCCCCAAATCACACAACTCTAGCTCCTGTTTTGTGCCTGTATTAAGCCCCCCGAATCACACCACTCTGGCTCCTGTTTTAAGCTCCCCAAATCACACAACTCTAGCTCCTGTTTTGTGCCTGTATTAAGCTCCCCAAATCACACAACTCTAGCTCCTGTTTTCTGCCTGTTTTAAGTTCCCCAAATCATTCAAGCTCCTGTTTTCTGCCTGTAAAAAGAGTAATAAACTCCCGAACATGATATCTCGTCACTTCCGTTGTGTAGACTGCCTTATCTATTTTGGCTTTGTTTTTCAATTAACCAAGAGCTAATTAGTAAAATATGGCTTGTGAAATAATAGGATTTTTTTTTTAAATTCGATGCATAGTGTTGCTATTTGGTTCCTTTCATGTATGTTGAACATGAACTTTCCCCATTACCTTTTTTGTCAACTATTTTCCTCGTGTTATTCTATAGCGTAACAGGTTCCTTTACCGTGAACTGTTGTCAATACCACTAATTATTCCCATTAGCGTGATCTATTCCTATCAGCGTGATCTATTCTCATTAGCGTGATTTATTCCCAATACCGTTAATTATTCCCATTAGCGTTAATTAGCGTCAACTGTCTCAACTGATCACGGTCTGATATTGACGTTAGTGGTAATACAACGATTGTAAGTGAAAGCAAACGTAATGCGTCGACGTCTCTGTTCTTGTAAAGACCTAGGAACCTCTGCCGAACTGTGCATGGTGACTACGCTCTTGGATAATGTTCTGTGTTCAAACGTGTATGCCCTTATACAACGTTCTATGTGTAGACTAGTATGGCCTTGTACAATGTTCTAGATATAAACGTGTATAATTTTGTACAATTTTCTATGTTTAAACTTGTTGAATGACCTTGTACATTTTTCTATATTGAGGTATGACCTTATAACGTGTTCTATATTAAAACTTGTATGACCTTGTACAATGTTCTATATGTAAACTTTAGGATACGACAACTTGTTATGGCCCTCTTCCATTTACTACAATGTGTAATGGGATCCAGTTGTTATTTTAGCTTGCTGCTGTGGAATGTGCGTGTGGGTCAAGTCTACGGCGTGAATCATTTGATAACACTTGAATGTTTCTGTAGACGTAGCTGCTGGGATATTGTTCCATTTCAAGAATGGGAATTATGGGAATTCTCGTGACAGGTGAAGCTTCCAGGTCAGGTAGATACTCAGGTCACGTGGTATGATCTAGGTCAAACGCGGTCAATAAGAATTTTATCTCCGTGTACCGACATTCCTGTTCCCAGGTGGTCAGTAGCCCCCTGCTGTTGTGCACGTCAGTAGCGCCATGTGGTGCTACTTGGTGTCATTGGGACACATGTCATGTCTTAATGGCACTGGGACAACTGTCATGTCTTAATGGCACTGGGACAACTGTCATGTCTTAATGGCACTGGTCAACTGTCATGTCTTAATGGCACTGGTCAACTGTCATGTCTTAATGGCACTGGTCAACTGTCATGTCTTAATGACGTTGTGACAAATGTCATGTCTTAATGGCACTGGTCAACTGTCATGTCTTAATGGCACTGGTCAACTGTCATGTCTTAATGACGTTGTGACAAATGTCATGTTTTAATGGCACTGGGACAAATGTCATGTTTTAATGGCACTGGTCAACTGTCATGTCTTAATGGCACTGGTCAACTGTCATGTCTTAATGACGTTGTGACAAATGTCATGTTTTAATGGCACTGGGACAAATGTCATGTCTTAATGGCACTGGGACAACTGTCATGTCTTAATGGCACTGGTCAACTGTCATGTCTTAATGGCACTGGTCAACTGTCATGTCTTAATGGCACTGGTCAACTGTCATGTCTTAATGACGTTGTGACAAATGTCATGTTTTAATGGCACTGGGACAAATGTCATGTTTTAATGGCACTGGGACAAATGTCATGTTTTAATGGCACTGGGACAAATGTCATGTCTTAATGGCACTAGGACAAATGTCATATTTTAATGACACTGCGTCAACTATCGTGTCTTAATGGCCCTGGTACAACTGCCATGTCTTAATGGCAGTGTGACAGCTTTCGTGCCTTCGCGCTGTTAGAAAACAGCCTGTCTGTAGAAACAGCCTGTCGTCCCTTAGTGTCACTAAGCTGTCAGACCCCCTTACCACAGAAAACACGTGCAGTGCCACACTGACATAAGAGCTACCTGTTGAAGTGCTACAGTTTGGTCACACAAGCAGAAAGTTGGTCCCGCTACAGTATAATAGAATGGTCATAAACTCTTACGTTTAGCTGTAGGCTGGAGCTATTTCATATTGAATCACGAGCCGAATGCCTTACATTTAAACAAAGGAGGCACACTTCAAAGCGGGGACGTCGTGCCCTCGGTATTTGTAGTGTGGGGCCCACCGAATAGTTGAATAAAGGTTACCAAACAGAATGGTAGATGAAGGGTAAAGTTTGCTTAGTTAATTGCCACATTCCCACGGTATTTGCCGCGACTATCATCAGATGGGTGAAGTGCATGTTGAACCTTGGGTCTGGTGAGTTGATTGGGGGTGTAGAGGGTTTACTGCTATCTTTCAGTTTTTTTTCTATTAATCGTCACTGGCCAGCAATATATAATCGAACTGATTTTGTTGTTGTTGGTATGGGTGTGAGAATTTTGGGCTACGGTTTATAAAATGGAACTTAAAGACCATTTGCGTTACGTCCTACCTATGAGACGTTAATACAACAGTTTTAGAACGAAACCTGATTACAAGACATAAGGACCACACTAAAGGTGGCTTTAATGGTTTAGGTAGAACGTTTTAAGGGGACCACAAATAGGGGTCATGTGGGACCCCAAATAGTGGTTCTGTCGTACCATACGTAGGGGTCGTGTAGGGTCACATTTAGAGGTCATGTGGGACCACATTTAGGGGTCATGTGTGACCACAAGTTCACTTAAGTCACGTCCTAGTTTAATTTTTTTTTTTTTTTTGTTTCTTACGTCTACACAACCTTGCTTTTCCATCCCAGCTTGCTCGCAGTACTATTTTTACTCGGTTTTGTTATCTTTTCATTTCGGTACTCATATTCCATCTCTGTGTGACCCCCCCCCCCCAACCCACCCCCGTCCCACCCACCTCCCGCTGCGCCCTCCATCTCTGCCCCTCCAGCGAGGGTCGTGTGGTCTAGCACTATAAATCCTGGATATCAGTGGCTGAAATCTGAGATGTGCCTCGTTGTTTGGGTGCTGATCACGTGGGAGGGTGGGGCAAGGAGGAGGGCGGTGAATGGAGGAAGAATAGCCTGAGGTCGCAATGATGGTACGAAAGAATGAGAGAGAAAAAATCCAGGGTAGTTATGTTAGGTGGTGGGGAGATGGGTTGGATTGAAACAATGCTCGCAGTCTGGGCGAGACTGTATCACCGCTTGTTTTCCTTACCACGCTGGTGTAGTCCAAGCTGAAGGCGCGCCTGTTTTCTCCCAGCCTCCGTACAGTCAGGATGTTTATTGTCTTTTATTCTTCTTCTCGTTTTTTCTTCTCTTCATTGCGTATTGGCACCGCACGAGCATGAAAACGTGAAGTGAACGTGAGCCAGGAGTCAGGTGCGGCCAGGGATTGTAGGATTGTTGCCCGTGTTGTAGTGGATCATTGAAGACATGTCGATGATGGGATAACCCGCGGACACGTTGGTAAACAGCGCGTGGATGAGATATCTGTGTACACTATTCATGAAGGATACTACCTGGGATTAGTGCACGATTCATGTCGGAGATAGTGGGACGTCAACTGTAGGACCAACTGACCAGCTCTCAACTATGTGGTCCAGTAACGAGTGACCTTGACCTGTATCCATGTCTTATCCAGGCTCGCCAAAGTTTTATCGTGGTAAGATCTGGTTCGCCATTACTGTTTGGATTCAAATACAAATGCTTGATTAATGTTTTGCTAGACTTGTTCATTCTAAGGTAAAAAATTTTTTTTTTGCATTGCGAATAGGCCTACATGTATTTGTAGAAAATGAGTATATCTTTTCTTCGGTATTATATCGGTTTCTATATGCCGGTGTCGCGGTATGGTACAAAATCCGTCAGGATAAGGTTCGCGATAACATAAAATAAATAATTTATATAAAGCTTTTTTTTTAAGAAAGCTGTGAAGTGCCGTATTGTGTTACAGTAGTTATTGTGGTATCTATTTCATAGAGAGCTATCTAGTATTGGGCTACAGGACATTACCCCCCTGGACACCCCCCCCCCATCCGGAGCAATTACCCCCCCCCCCCCCCCACCCCCAATCCAACAAGATAGAATCTTGATTCTAACTCCAACTATATACCCACATATTACCTTAATCCTAACCTTAAGACCAGGACAAAAAACCCGAGAATTCACCTTAACCTAAAATTAACCGAAAACCAAACCCAACTCTAAATATTGATTTAAGCCTAACCCTGATCCTAACACTAACCCTAGTTCTAACCCTAGCATAAGCCCTAGCCCAAACTCTGACCCTTAAGCTATGACCCGGAGGTAATGTCCTACTGGTCGGGGGGTAATTACTCGGGGGGGGGGGGGGGTTAATGCCCTGTTCCCCTAGTATTGATACCATGCTTCCTAGTTGTGTGATACTCTGTTTGCTACAGTCCGGACACGCAGTTTGCCTAGTTGTGTGATACTCTGTTTGCTACAGTCCGGACACGCTAACTCCCATAGACAGGAGCACGTCATGAAATCTAGCGGCGGACAAGAGAGTTCTGTTTCCTTCCATTCATTGCTGTGTTCCTGCTAACCTTATCTCTTCCATCAAAGACTTCTAAATCTGACCACGCTTACTGCTCCTGCCTTATCTACCATCATTCATCCACTCCATCCCACCCTCCCTCCCCCTCTCCCCCATCCCCACACTGGTAACCCGAGGAGGGGTGGGGTGCACCTAGTTAATGTTTGAGATAAATCTCGTGCCTGTGTTAGACGTTCGTCTGGAACTGTTCCAGGTTTTACACCAGCAGGCTCTACACCACGTGACCTAGTTGAGTAATGCTGGGGGTGTGGGGAGTGGGGCTTAGGTCTATACAACGTATAGGACGTAACTTTACCTAGTTACACGACATGACATTATGTTACTCACGTAGGACGTAACTTTACCTAGTTACACCACCTGACATTATGTTACTCACGTAGGACGTAACTTTACCTAGTTACACAACGTAACAATGTTACTCACGTAGGACGTAACTTTACCTAGTTACACAACGTAACTTTACCTAGTTACACAACGTAACAATATGTTACTCATGTAGGACGTAACTTTACCTAGTTTCACAACGTAACAATATGTTACTCACGTAGGACGTAACTTTACCTAGTTACACAACGTAACAATATGTTACTCACGTAGGACGTAACTTTACCTAGTTACACAACGTAACAATATGTTACTCACGTAGGACGTAACTTTACCTAGATACACGACGTGACATGTTACTCACGTAGGACGTAACTTTACCTAGTTACACGACGTGACATTATGTAACTCCCATAGGACGTAACTTCAGCTAGTTATGCTGCGTAACATTGTTACCCCCGCATTAACTTTACCCTGTCCTGCACGACTTAACCTTTATGTAACTCGCGCAGGACCTAACTTCACCTAGTTACACTATTACGTTACCCCGAATGACGTTACTTCAGCTAGTTACACGACGTAACATGTTATTATCACGACGAGTAACTTCACTTAGCCGTACACAATACATTACATGCCCTATACGACGTTATACCACATACTCTACATAAGTAACATTGCATTAAATAATATTGATATTCCCGTTTGGACAATGGCTCATGAGAACCTCAACACGGGTATTTGTAAACCGAAATGAGAACATTAATGGTTTCATAAAATTACGTGCACATGCGAGTGTTCACTGCCGATATGTGTACAAGAAAGTGTCCACTAGACTGTATCTACATGAAATAGTTCGCTTAAATACAAATATATGTCCATGGTAGGGTTCACTAAATATGTGTACACGAATGACTTGAACTTTCTCTAATCGAGTTGGTTGGTGACCGGGTCCGTGTTGTTATCAACTACAGTATGCGCGTGTGAGTAGCGATTCCAGCCATTCGTGACATACTCGCAGCTTACTTAAAATACCGACCCTTGAACTCTGGCATAGCCAACATACGAAGCGAATCATCATCAGGCTCCAGATATATGTAGCACGTTTTCTCTAGACATCCCCAGGTGACTCACACCCCCCCCCCGGTTCCTTTGTTTATCTTACCTGCTACCTCCCCCCATCCTCCTAGTACCAGCCTCCAGGAAGTTGTAATTGTACTCCCTGTTACGTACGTGTAGCCTCCCCTGTATTGACCATCTGCTCGAGTCTGTGGCACTGTACAGGTTAACAAGATTACCTCCCCTTCCTGGACCTGAGACCGGCTAATTGGAACCAACAGGGTGGCAGCTTTTCATTTCCGGGTCAGCCGCAGGTAACTGTTCTACTCAGTGGCACTGGGAATCCATTTGTTGACTGGGGGTTGTTGGCAGTCACGATATGAGGAACATCCAGATAGTACAAGTGGACTTAATGGCTAGACAAGACTTTGTCAGCGCATGCACCTTTGTATAAACCACATGGCTTTGTTTAAGCTTGTGCTGGCCCGTAGTCCGATTTCTTCATTCAGTGCTGTAAAGGCTGCACTCTATGGAATAACTGTGTGTTTTCAATAACCACATTTTTGAATGCAATAATTGAAGCGTAGTGTAAACACTAAAGCATCATATTGACTGCTCTTTTGAAAAAAACCAAAAGCTTACGAGTATATTCCTGGTATTGCCGGACAAATTGTCCAACGAATTTCCCGACAAACTAGTTTGTTCGCCACTTGTCTTTGGGAATAGGCTCGCTAATTCTCTTTGGGTATTGTCCGGCACATAGTCCGTTGTTTAGCATTGAATCTTCCAACATATTCCCGTGAAGGTGTGTCGTGGACTGCCAGTGTGGGAACCGTCCATCGTATGGTCTCTTGTACTGTAATCCTCTTAGAGGTTCGACAAATGTCGCCTGTAATGCTGGAGTCATTCACCTCAGACCAGCCTTGTGGTGACACGATGATTTCCTACAGGTTGTGTTTCAGGTTTTTAACTACAGGTGAGTAGTTTAGGCTTCAGTGAGTTGTGGCGATGTTTAGCCGCCGCGCTACGCATCAGTTTAGTACTGTAGGTCTCTGCCGATTGACAGTAGTGGCATTAGCGACATGTTCCTTTAGTTTAATTCAGCGTCAGGGTTTATGGTTATCAGAAATGTCTTCCTACCATTTTTGTTTGAGTGATAGACAAAACATACGCAGTTATGTTGCAAGCATTACTCCTAATAAAAGATATTTCAATTTGATGTCAATAAGACGCTGGAAAAAAGTGGAAAACGTTTTCAATTTTTTTTGTTTTATAGGTATGTTCTGCTGAAGCCTTAAGGTCGAAATATGTTTTGTGTTTGGCGCTTGCATTTGATCTTCAACGATACACAACTGTAGATGTTTAGATTATCAAAACTTCCATTGCAATACATTGTCCTGGTTACGGCATACAGAGACTCCTAAGAATCGCCGGCCTATATTTAGCCTACAAGGGTCATGCTCTCCCAGAGAACGGTAGTGTACAGCCAGGGTAAACTGCTGAAAGCCATTTCGTTTGACCTGCCTATCGTGGGGACCGTTAGAGGCTGCCAAACTGGCCCCATTGACCTGGAAGTGTCATGTCAGAGGTGTAGATAAACATGCCAGCCTGGCTGTTTAGATGCCATCTGGTCAGTGGAATTGGCAGGGTTGTCGTTAATTCTTAGTGGTGGTTCTGTTGTAGTGATGAGGGGTGGGAATTCTGAGGGGTTGTTCTGTTGTAGAGAAGAAGGGTGTGAATTCTGAGGGGTGGTTCTGTTGTAGTGACGAGGGGTGGGATTCTTTAGGGGTGAATGTAAGTTGTAACAGTGGTGTGAATTCTCAGGGGTGGTTCTGTTGTAGTGAAGAAGGGTGTGAATTCTGAGGGGTGGTTCTGTTGTAGTGAAGGAGGGTGTGAATTCTGAGAGGTGGTTCTGTTGTAGTGAAGAAGGGTGTGAATTCTGAGGTGTGGTTCTGTTGTTGTGAAGGAGGGTGTAAATTCTGAGGGGTGGTTCTGTTGTAGTGAAGAAGGGTGTGAATTCTGAGGTGTGGTTCTGTTGTTGTGAAGGAGGGTGTGAATTCTGAGGGGTGGTTCTGTTGTAGTGAAGAAGGGTGTGAATTCTGAGGGGAGGCACTGTTGTTGTGAAGAAGGGTGTGAATTCTGAGGGGTGGTTCTGTTGTAGTGAAGAAGGGTGGGAATTCTGAGGGATGGTAGTAACTCATCCAGTGTGAATTATTCGGGGTAGTTGTACTATTGTGTACATCGATATTATCTTCGAGAGCTGATCTTGTTGTAATGTATTGAATATGTAGTTCTCTGCGTGAGTTGGGTCGACAGGAAAATACACTTAACGTTATCTATAATATCAAACACAACATCCTGTATATTCTGTGTGTAACCACATTTTAAAGTTTGGCTCGACAGACTCGACCTTCCGAGAATATTTGTTTAAATAATAATAAAGTGTGTGTGGTGTGCGAGCATGAAGGTAAACACTCCTGTGGGGTGTCAGGTGGGTGAGTCACGGTGTCAGGTGGCACAGTCACGGTGTCAGGTGGCACAGTCACGGTGTCAGGTGGCACACGGAACTTTAAGGTGTCCTACAGAAATAGATTTTCTGTATAGCTCATGCCGCCGTAAACGTAGATTAGAATTACTAAAATACAACTTTTGAAGCAACAACAATAACTCCTGCGGTCAAATGTCCGCGCACATTTTTTCTG